TGCCTGTTATTAAGATATTAACAGTTTATTAACACTTCAACATACCAAAATCTTACCCAATACTTAAACTATTAATAAGCAGAAAATTAATACTGTATTGAGCTAAAAGTCTTAGTTAATATCAAGTATCTTAAAATTAAGTGTGACCCTATAATTTATAGATTAACCGTGACTTATGTGGGTACGCTTTAAGCTAAATAGATTGATTCTTATTCATTTCATAGTCATAAATCGCGCTTCATAAATCGCGCTTCAGTGTTATCAATCACGTAATATTTATTTTAGATTTCAGGTATTTCAATGCACTAAACATTTATAGTTTGTAAAATACACTCCGGAAATAGAAATTTAATAGCTGTCTTTATAAAATATATTTCGATGATCTGCTTAATTCATATAAGAGACAGTTTTTGTACCTGATCACATAGTTTATTCATACCAAAGTATGTCTACATGTATCCAAATAACAATAATAATGATTGTGGTGGTTTCAGTGTCCTTCATCTTACTATGAGTACATAAACATATGCTCCTATTTAGCAGCCACCTTCTTTCATGTGTTTAGGGCAAGGTTGACAAATTTATGTGTTGTAAATCCAGAAGTTCTGGGGCCTCATGTACTAAAGCTGCGTACGCACAAAGGGCCCTATCATACAACCGACGCAATGTGGCGCAAGGCGCAAGGCGCAACGCAATTGTTGTTTATTAGTTTCAGCTTGGTGCAAGAGTCGCTTTGACGTTTTGCAGCACTCTGTTTAAATAGCAAATTAATTTGCGCTCATATGTGCGCCCATAGGCGTTCTGATCTAAAAAAGCAGGCATGTTGAGACACATTGATGGTGCGTTGCTATTTTGAGAAACTTTAATAGATTGTTCTATAGACCAGAACAAAGCCGATCTAAAGTCCAGTGCAGAGCGTGTTAGTTGTGCGCCTCGTTTACACATTGCTTAATACAAACAGGATGTACAGCAATACGCAAAAATATTTACATATGAAAAAGCGTAAAAATATTAAGGATATTTATAGGATATAAATGTAAAGGATTAAAATATTAGAAAACCTAATTTTCTAGCATATATATATTTAAAAACCATACTTTCATGCCTTCTTCATCTCGGGAGGCTTTTTCAGTTTATTCAGAACAATTTGCTTTTGTATAATGTTATCATTATTAGCAGTATTATTTATTACAGTATGTGCATATTTATATTTGTCTTATTAAAAACAAGCTTAGATTTGCCCACCTGTCAGGTTTTAGACCATATGGGGCACAGCATGTGTTTTAGGATATAACTCAGTTTTTTGACCACACTTTGTTATTATTGTTTCTTTATTTGTTTGTTGGAGATTAGAACTGAATTTAGAAATAGTTTAGAAACAAATCTTTGCGCTTAACAAGCAAAATTAAGTATTTATAGGCAAATGGATGTCTTTGCGTACAAGAAGTTTCCTTATCCACGAGAGTGAAAGCGAAAGTTAACAATGATGCTCTGTTTAACTGTTTTCTCTCTAGTGAAGGGTTCAGTTTTCACTTACAAAGTCCGCCAAGTAAATAGCAATGCGCTATGGTGCGAAGCAACTGATATATGCCTTCAGTGATTTCTTGAAAATAAATACAAAAAAATAACACAACTGGAATAACTACAGCAGTCGCGATCATCTAATCTCATATGAAGCAAAAAAGACTTAAAGCCTCGGTGTCATATGTAGTGGGGTGCTCTCATAAGAGAGCATGAAACCTTCTAAATTAAAACAACATTTAGAAAACAGAAAACATGTTTTATTAACAGTTTATTATTAACAGTGTTTGTCGTTTTTACTTTGTAATATTTCTATAATTTGATCCATTTTGTTTAATGACAGCAATAAAATAGTGTTTATTTGTAAGTGTTGGTGAATTTCTTATGATTTATCTGTCACTACTTGTTTATGTTAACAAATAAATACAAATTAAGTATAATTCCTAATATTGTATTATAGTTCCTAAAAATTTGGGTCGCAGCTTGATGACCATGTAAAAATGGGGGTCCCATGGCCAAACCAGTTGAGAACTCCTGCTGTAGATCAACTACTATGATCATTGTCAGGCTGTTTAAACAATGTAATACTGATAACTTTGTATACTGCAGAGGAGGAATTTTAGAATTTTTACAACATAACTAACAATATAATTGACCTTTTTAAGTTTTTTTTTGTTTTGCCCTAAAAACCGTAAAATACTCACTAAGTGATCTCTCAGAGCATATGTTCATGTACTCATAGTGAGATGGCACAACCTGAAAACACCACAAACATAATATTGTGATTTGGTTAGATGTACAGAAATACTTTGGTTTATTCATCAAAAAATATTCAAAATTCCACAACTTTACACAGTAATGCACCATTACTTTATTACTTCCATTTATGCTTTCTGCATTGTTTTTGAACTTGGCCACATAGAACATTTGATTTATTTTATTTTATTTATTTTATCTTTGTCATGATGACAGTAAATAATATTTTACTTGATATTTTTCAAGACACTTCTGTACAGTTTAAAGTGACATTTAAAGGCTTAACTAGGTTAATAAGGTGAACTAAGCAGGTTAGGGTAATTAGGCAAGTTATTGTATAACGATGGTTTGTTCTGTAGACTATCGAAAAAAAAATTGCTGGAAGGGGCTAATAATTTTGTCCCAAAATTGTTTTTTCAAAAATTTAAAACTGCTTTTATTTTAGCAGAATTAAAACAAATAAGACTTTCTCCAGAACAAAAAATAAATTTCCTTGCTCTGTTAAACATCATTTGGGAAATATTAAAAAAGAAAATAAAATCAAAAGCGGGCTATTAATTCTGACTTCAACTGTATATATATATTTATATATATAATATATATATATATATATATATATATATATATATATATATATATATATATATATATATAATGACTTGATGTATACTTTAAACTTTAATTATATTGTTTAATATAATTTATTGTAATTAGATATTTTTTGTCAATTAAAAAAAAGATTTTTCTAGAGTCATCCACCATAATTTTGTGGCTCAACGATATTGATTCAGGCACCGGTACCATTTTAAATGTATTAATTTAGTACCGGTATCAAAATAATCTTAATCAATTCCCAACCTTAGGTTTGAATTTGTGTACAATTTTTATATTTGTTTTATTCTATAAAGCTCAGAGAATGTTTTTTTCCCAAGAAAGGGATCCACCATCTCAGCATCCGCCATCTCACCATGAGTGTATCGTAAGAACATATGCTCTCAGTCGGCATCCACTTCCTTTCATGTCTTTCTAGAGAAGTTGATGCATTTATATGTTGTAAATCCAGCAGCTCTAATCTTTCCACTAACAAGACAGCACCCATCACCCTTCATACTGTAGATTAACTACTAAGATCCTCGTCAAGCTGTTTAAACTAATTGCTGACATGTTATGTACATATATTGCAGAGAAGGAATATCAAAAATTTTTACAACAGACATACTTTGGTATATTCAAATTTTCACAATTTCCCGCTTCACACTATATTTTACTTTTAGATGATTTTATCCTTAAATTCCATTCATGTTTGCTACATTATATTTGGACTTGGTCACATAGATCCATATATATATGGATATATGGATCTTTCTTCATAGCTGTATATTGTCCAAACTACAATATATATATATATATATATATATATATATATTGTAGTTTGGACAATATACAGCTATGAAGAAAGACACTGGGACATTTTCAGCTACTCTGGATTTATTAGGTTTAGATTTGTGTAAAATTGCACTATTTGTTTTGTTCTAAAAAGCTCAGAGAACAGTTCTATAATTATAAAAACGTTTTTTTTCCCCTAAGAAAATGACAGTAGGTCAGAATAAATTGAAAATGAGTGATTTGAAAATCATTGTTATTCCATCTAAATCCATTTAACTCCTCTGTAGTCAGAAAATCTGTATGGTGTAGTCTAAAACTGCATATAAACGTCTGAAAAAGCACCAGACCTTTTACATATTTTATGCAAAATTGCTTTAAATGGCAACATTATTATTTTAAATTTGAAAGAAATTTCATCAGTTGTAATCCAGACAAACTGAGAATTGTTAAGTGGTTTAATTCCCCCAACCCCAAACCCCCCCCCAAATGTTCAATGTGTGAAGCAATGTAGCATCCCTTTCTTATTTTATTTTTTATAAAGTCGTTAGTATTTCAATTTTTCCATCTACATTTGACAGCCTTTGTAAGAAAAAGCATTCTTTTATCAAGTTCATGTTTGTTCTGTTTTTTTTTTTTTAATTACTTTGTGCTCTTTTAGTTTTCAAAGCGCTCTGGGAAACGGAGAGAAGTTTTCCGTATGAATAGCATGAAAGGCTCCATTTAGCAAAACTATACCGGAGAGTCTGCTTTAAGTATTGGACATCTGTAAATGAAATTTCAATATGCTGTGAGACCCCAACTGATACCCTTCCCATTTCTTACCCACAATGAATGAAACTAATTGCTTTAAATGGCAGATCCTCCGTGAAGCAGCTCTCCTGTGGTTCAGAGCTCATAGAAACAAGAATTACCACCAACAGATGAAAATCAAAAGTAATGGGACAGAAGATTGTGTCACCTCAGTCGCAATCCTTTAATTGCACTTCTTTTGTTCACGAAAGCCATTCGGAAATGCGCCGCTTTTGAGAGAGCGGTTTAACTCTCACAATGCCACCAAAAAAGTCTGAAAACCCCAAGGTGGCATGGAAAATTGCTTTCTATGTTTTTCTTACAAATACCATGCTGTTATTATAATTTTCTTTCAGACAACAGCGCATTATGAGTGATATTTTGATAGTTGTAAGGTGTCAGATATAAATTCAAAAGATTATTTCATAAAGAAACGAATCACCGATGATACGGCTTCTTATGTGAGCGTTTGAATCAAAGGAAAACTGTACTCCAACTCACTAATCAGATCTGTAGTGGGACTTGCGACGACAATAAAGACAACAACATTGAGTTTTTGAATTCATTTGCTTTATTCGAAATAAGACCATATTTAATTCATCTGAAAACAACTTGTCTTTGTCCATCAGCAATTAAAATATGCTGCTTCATTATGCCATTCTGTATAGAAAATTGTCATTTATTATTTCTTTGTAGTTGTCCGATAGACGTTTTTCGAAGCTTAAGCCGTTTTAAGAGTTCAATAATTACATCTGTTGATCCGTGGGCCAGCTTCTTCAAACTTTTTTGGCTTTGGGATCAGAAAACAAACTCAACTATGAACATTTAAGAATCTTTTTAATTCACACTGGTAATAAAATTGCATTACAGTTTCATAAAATAAATGTTCCAGTTTATATACAGAAAACAGACTGTACATACCCTCAGAGAAGCATTAGAAGAACATGAGGAAGAGAAATAGAGAGCGTGTGTGTGTGTGTGTGTGAGAGAGAGAAAGATTGAGACCAAAACAGAAAAAACATCACAAAAACCATACAGGCAATACAGTGCTCAGCTAAGCAGGCACAACTGTACATCAAAACGTGTAACTGCTCAGTGTTGGGGACAGGAAGGGCCAAAAAGTAGTACATTTACAATAGAGTCCTCAGGGACCAATACGGCTTTTACTGTAAAAAGTATTGCAGGCAAGCGGACAGATGCTCTTCTCTCTGAGTGCAGCAGAACATCCATCCAGCGCGTAAGCGTGTGTTTGAAAGCTGCTGCTGCCGTCTCTGATTGGCTATTGAACTTGCGTCTCAAAGCTCCCGTTGAGCTGCCCCTCCTCATAGTCCATCTGACACAGAATCATGTTGTTTTTAAGGAAAAACTTGTCGCCCACACAAAACCTGCAGGAAAGCAAACAAACGAACATGTGCATTGGTTATCGTTTACCTTTTCTTTGGCCTTTACACATTAATTATAGCTCCTGCTGAATAGTGTTCACATTTCCAACGCACCTCTTGAGGTCTGGAAATGAGGTGTACACTCACAACCTGTACTAGTGGCCATCATTACAATTGCTCACCTCATTTTTGTATCTTGAATATATATTCAGAATTACCTGAGTCAGTTCCTGCAAACAGATTCTCTGCTTGATGCATGTTAGTCATGCTTATTAGAAAGTATTGGAAAAAAATACCCTCATACATCATTAATCATGGCCTACTTTGTGAAAGCAGCAGGTTTGAAATGTTGAACTCTTGATAGAGGGCTGCTGATTTATAATAAAAGTTAAATTTTAGACAACTCTGCTTCCCGTTGTGGCTGCATCACCATCCCAGGTGTGGATCACTTTCCAAAACTTCATCAGTTCAAAGTTATTCTGCTTGCATTTGGCTTTTTGATATTGTTTAGATGTCGTATTTTAGGACATTTGTCAGGGTTTAAGTACTTAAAACCCTCCTGTGTGTAGGACTAGCTACAGTAATTGTGGCTAGAGTCACTGACTACAGACTAATGCAATTATAAATAAAGCCATTAGTGAAAGAGTTTCATTGTACTTTAGTCTCACAAATGAGGAACACAACAAGCAATTCATTAATCACAAATTTAATAACTTTTCTATTGTAATATAAGGAAGGGCTGCAAGATTATTTGGAAAAAAAGATCACAATCTAGATTTGACCCAAAACACTATCTTGATTTAGCTTTTCTATGATTCGGCCAATTATATTTTCAAATTCAGGAAAGAAGCATAGAGGCAGATGCACAAGTCTTCACACTGTTTTATACACATTGCAGAGCAACATGGACACCTCCAAATGGTGTTGAAAGTGTCACTTACTGTATTTATAAAGTATAATTCATCTGAAAATTTAATTTCGGTCTTAATTTATTGACACATTCGTGGCCGCGAAATCACACGTTTGTTTATTACTGAGAAGACACGTACATGCCCGCCAATGAGAACTACTTTAGTGAACAGAACCTGCATCAACTTTAAATAACAGGTAATAAAGTTGTAAAAAATTGGATTTGTTCAGATTTGCACAGAATGATCATTTGGTAGCAGCGCGGGAATTGTGATTTACATGTATATTTTTTTTTCTCAAACTGATGGCAGCCATGACATGAGCGCACTTGGCAGTGAAAGTGAAACCAAAAGCACGCACATCATTTGAATGATCATATCGCATTTTAGAGTTATGATTACAACAAGCATTTGTTTTTTTTTCATAGAGAACACAAAGTGTTGTGCAGGAAAATACATGTTTACTGGGTCAGTATAACTACTCTAGCCTATATAATGTTGAATATGATGCAAGAGGGAATCTGATAATGACAAATGTCTTGAGTGAAAAAAATGGTCTAATGTCGTCAATGACGGATTACAATGAAAAGCATACATCTCAAACATAATAATTCAACTTCAGAATTAAGAATAGTTGTATTATGATGCCATCACTTTACTGTGAATTCAAAACTAGGACATATTTAAGGTCTGTTTAAGTCCAAGTATATAATAGTAGACATACAAATAGGGCTAATATTATTATTGTTGTTTTACCATATATTTGAGAAATAACAATACTAATAGCCTACTTTATATTGACATTAATTTTACATTTAACAGAATCGTCAAGAGAAAATCGGGATCTTGATTTTTTATTTAAAAAAATAGTGATTCACATTTTAGCCAGAATCGTGCAGCCCTAATATAATAATATATGATGGCCGCTGGTTCGAGTCCCAGCTGGACCAGTTGGCTTTTCTGTGTGAAGTTTCCATGTTCTCCCTGTGTTTGCGTGGGTTTCCTCCAGGTGCTTCGGTTTCCTCCACAATCCAAGGACATGGAGTATAAGTGAATTGGATGAACTAAATTGGCTGTAGTGAATGAGTGTGTGTGTATGAATGCGGGGGTGTATGGGTGTTTCCTATCACTGGGTTGTGGCTGGAAGGGCATCCGCTTCATAAAACATATGCTGGAATAGTTGGCGGTTCATTCCGCTGTTGTGACCCCTCATAAATAAGGGACTAAGCTAAAGGACAATGAATGAATGAATGGATGAATGAATGAATGAAATGAAAATGAATGAAATCTGTATGCATTAGGGCTGTTACAATACTGGAATTTGGAACCAATCGATACTGAAGTTTTAAAAACGTCCATTTCCTGCTAACATTTGAGCACTATTGAGTACGTTCTTAAACAGCGCTGATTTAGAATTGTGTTCACGTGCTCAACAGAAATGACTTTGATTGGCTGTGAAGGTCATTAGTTCACCAAACTCGCCGCTGTTTACTGAATGTAAACACAGATACAGAGACAGAGTTTGTCTATAAGCTGACTTACGAGCGATCCGCTGATGAATCGCAGCTTTAAAATGCTCCAGTGTCCTTGTATCTGTTGTTACACTCAGTAAACAGCGGTGAGTTCAGCGAACTGATGAGCTTCATAGCCAATCACAGTCATTTCTGTTGAGCACGTGAACACAATGGCAAATAAGCTCTGTTTAGGAACATGCTCAGTAGCACTTAATTGTTAGTAAAATTTCAGTATCGATTGGTACCGAATTCCAGTATCATGCAACCTTAGTATACATGAATCACTTTTTTTATACTAGTGCAATTGTGGACCATTTTAGTCATCAATTTGTTGCTAAATGCTACGGTTTCTGTGACTGTCTGAAAGTCTCTTGATGGGGCAATAAGGTGGAGCTTTAACAAAAATGTTTTTTAAACCAAGTCTTTTTCAAAGCAGGACAGGACTGGCACTCAATGAAAGTATGCCACCAGTTCTTTTCATTGGTAACAAAAAAAAAAAAAAAACTCTTTACCAGTTACCAAGGAAACCCCACCGCTGAGTTTTCTTCCCTCCATGTTGGGGCTCTTTGCCAAAATATAAATTGTTAGCCTTTAAAACTTCCCATGAAATTTCATGCCAATTAAAAAGAAAAACATTCCATGTGTGCACTACATTTTACATCGACACGTTAGCATATGAAAGCCATGAATGTCTTATGGACAATGGAACGGCCATGATGAAAGTTTTGCCAATGTTGTTTTCTCTTATCAATCAGTGCCACACCAATGTGCCGTATTGGCAAAGGAATAAAGCAGATCATGCGAGAATCACGCACCCCGTGTGTCATCCATCAGCGGAGGCTTCACTCACCGAGCTTTATTATGCATCTAGTGTGCACCAAATATGCAACTTGACCACTTATTCCTCTTTATTTAGCTTGATTGCTGGCCCTAAACCCTTTAGGAGGCCACAGTCAGTTACATCACAAGAACTATTGAACATTCTATATTTGCGAAATCAGTTCTGAAAAGTAGTTAGAGCTTGTTTGTATTTATTACTATTACAGCATTCATCGAGTGTAGCGCATGCATGCAGTAACTTTTGAGAATGACACAAAAGTCTTTTTTAGAAGTAGGTCACACACTAGAGCATTTAAGACACTGTCACACTCCTTTGCTCCCTAGGAATGTTTGGAAGGATGATCCTTGAAAAGTTCATTGGTCCGGCCGCTTAATTCCCTCGGCGAGACACATAGTGGTGACGTGCTCAGCTTGGCTGTGTATTGAGTAGAAGCTTTCTGGCTGACTGTGTTCAATAAGGTGTTCACAGTTTGATCAGGCTTGGCATTGGTCTGCCAACAGTATCGCCACTGAAGCGCTGGTTAATTTCACTCAACTCAAGCTTATAATCCCACTTCTGGTCACAAATACAAACTGGGATGAGTTTGAGATGAAAACGCAGTAGAAAATCTTATGGGGCAACTGGAGATTGTGAAGTGTGTGATTCTAGAGGTTATGTGGTTAGTTCACCCTAACATGTAAAGTTCATTCATTTTCCTTCAGCTTATTCTCTATTTCAGAGGGTGCCACAGTGGAATAAACCACCAACTATTCTGGCATATGTTCTATGGAGCAGATGCCCTTCCAGCTACAACCCAGTGTTGGGAAACACCCATACACTCTCACATTCACACACACACTCATAGACTACAGACAATTTAGTTTATTCAGTTCACCTATACTCCATGTCTTTGGACTATGAAGGAAATCGGAGCAACCGGAAGAAACCCACGCAAACGTGGAGAGAACATGCAAACTACACGCAAAAATGGCCAGCCAGGACTCAAACCAGTGACCTTCCTGTTGTGAGGCAACAGTGCTAACCACAGAGCCAGCATGTAACCATAACATGTAAAGTGTCATCCATTTTATGTCATGTCAAAGAAGTTTGTTCATTTTTGATGAAGATAGAGATATTTCTGTCAAAAAAAGGTCTGATTTGAGTAGTTTTATCCAAGTCAGTTTTTTTAACACCATGCAAATTTGTTCAGAAAAGCCAGATGCTTGCTTGACATTTGAAAACCGTTTACAATGATTCTTGCATGTCACATGCTCCTGCAAGACCCAGTAAGGTTTGTTATCCATGTGTCAAGCTGGTATGGATGAGCTTCTGTTTATACTGTATTTACTTATTGATTATATGCCAAGAAAAGTCCTAATTAAAATCTTAAAATGCCTCTTTAAAAAATGCATTTGCAACTGTATTACTCTAAATCACAAAAAATTATCATAGTATTATTTAGTTTAAATATAAATAATACAGGTTTAAACAAAACCTTCATTTATGTCCATGCACAACTCCAAAATAAACAAATATAAAGCATCTCGTTGAGCAAGTCCATGAATGAAGAATGAATAATATATATTATTTTCGCCACTTATAAATCTTATAAATGTTGCTTAAATTAAATTACCATAGAAATTGAGTTACCATAGAATTAAGTTGTTTTCCCTTTTTTGCAATTCGAGTTTATCCACATTGCCACAAAAGCTTCTTATTTCTTATTCATTGTGCTGTATAAAATTACAATTTAAAAGGGGATCGTAATTGTATTGTCGTTAGGAAACTGATTTTTAGTGATGGATATAGTTTTTTAAACGGTAAAATAATATTGAACAAAAACAGCTGGAGAGCCACGTATTTTTGGTCAAAGAGCCACAGATTTCCTACCAGTGGTTTAGGGTGGGCTAACCCATTAGGGAATTTTCAGTTTGAGCCAATAAAATGCTATGTATTTCCAGGTAGAAAGTCAATCTTGCAGGTTTGTTGTGATTTGTTTCCTCCTTACCTCTGGTTACAAAGCTGACAGGCAAAACAGTCCAAATGGTAAACATTATCTCTGGCCCTCATCACCATTTCAAAGGCTGGGATCAGTTTACTGCAGGCTGCACAGTTCCCCGTTGTACCAAAGAGCCTGTGAGAGAAAACACAAAAAGCAGATTTACTCACTTATACCTTTCTTAGCCTTTACAAAATCTTGCAACAAACCAGAAAAGACAAGAAAACAACCGAAGAAGTAGGAGGGGAAAAAACAAAACAAAAAAATATTGGACCTCTTATGCGATACGTGAATCCAGCTTGGCACACATTAGGTATTTTTTGTTAATGAGGGTACAAACCTAGATGTTAATTCTTAGCTAATGATCTAATTAAAATGATCACATGGTTCTAATCCCCTTCTTCAAAGAGTTTTCGCCTAGCACACTGCAAAAGCAATGAAAACAGGTCTGAGGCAAGCAATTGAACTGCTCAAAGTTTTTTTTCCCCTTCTCTTTTAAATCCGGAGTAACTAATGAGACTTTGCTCAGACCAAAGCCAGCTGGATTTTACACAAGAGGCTAAATACTATAATGTAGTCAAAAGTTCAAAAGATTCCCTTAGCAGGGATACTGCCTCTGTCCTGTGCCTCGCTTCACGTTCCCTCCATATCTCTGTGACCTGCTAAAAGCGTAGTGAGATATAGAGGGAGTGTCTGCAAGGTACGTAACCTTGGAGAGGTAAGTAGATGCTCGCTGGAGCACGGAAAGGGACACAACTCGCATTTCTCCACTGTTTGTTTAAGCTTATTAGATGGGACGCAAAACCGCCAAGGTCACAAACGGAACAAGGCATTGAGGCAGATCGCTTTCCTCTGCTACATCCGGCTCTGGATTTACATTTTCATTTTCAAAGCCCTTGCTCCAATGTTTAATTTGGAGATTCAGAGTCGGAGATATAGATGTATACATGCTGCGGAACAGGGATGTTATGCACATGGGACAAGGAAATGAGGAAGAACGGTGGGAAGGAAAAGGGAAAAATAAGGCAGGATCAGGATGAGGTGGTATGCTAAGCGCTCCTCTAAAGTTAAGGACTCGTCTGGAAAGCGACAGCAACTGAACAAAGTTGTGTCGAGTCCATATTAGTCTCTCTCGACTGCTCGCCCTGCGTCAGCGCCAGCATCTATCCAGCAGACCCTGCTGTTAATTAGAGCAACAGACCCGAGCGGAGAGGAGTCTTATGGTGGGAGAGGGCATGTTGTTATATCAGATAGGCGAGGTGTTAAAAAGAGCCATTGTTAGATCGGGTTACTGCTCCAGTAAAATGTGTTTATGTGGAACTCTGACACTCTGAGGAGGCCGTGCAACCCCAGCGAGGTGTTGCCTCACAAAAGAGTTCAGCTTATTAAAATAATGCTTGACTGCAACTCTGTGTCAAGGTCAGCAAAGAATATGCAAGAACTAATAATTGCACGGAGAGTTTATGCTTTACATTTTAGTTAGACTTTACATTAGTGTCTGTTACACACAGAATTAGATTAGTATTTTCAAGCTGTTCAAAAATAATTGTGTCGTTGTCCACACTGGCAGTATTTCTAGTGCGTCGATGTAATGTCAAAACAAAGCAAAAACTCAGACATGTACTGTGTTGTGACACAATTTTTCCAAAACCGCCATTAAAATTTTGTGTAACTTGTGCCACAGCAGACGTTCTTGGCTCAGTTCAGACATGACAGCCCTTATTGCCCTTGTGCATCAATGAGCCTTGTCTGCCAGTGTGATTAGTCCCTCCCCGGACCATTGCTGACTGGGAGCGTTTCAGAGATCTCTGACCTAGTCACCTTGCCAAATCAATTTGGCCCTTGTCAAATTTGCTCTGATGTACCCCAACAGTAGTAGTATAGCACCTCCTTAACAATGGCAATATTTGGGGTTCAATTTCTGGAAAAAGCAACAACTAATAAAATGATCGGCTTCAATGCGATGTGGGTCACTTTGAAAAACAAGCATCTACAAAAAGCATGAATATAAAGGTACAGTGCTCTGCTCAGCATATATGAGTCTTTTGAATTCATATTTATTATAGGAAGCTATACAATATATATTTGTGCATATACATTAGATTAGTCAGTACTGAAGCCAAATCTGGAGCTTATTTTACAAAATAACTCACAATAACGGTCCAAAAACTAGTACAGCCAAATTTGTTATAAAAATATTAAATACAAAATTTAAAAAGAGGAAAATTAAGAGAAGCAAAAAATATGAAACATTTACTTGAAATTTTGTAGGTTGTAATTTTTGTTTGCAGTATTTTGCCAGAATTTAATTGTATTATCTTTCAATTTCAATTTAAATGTCATTTTAATAAATATATGTTTAATAAATCTGTTTTGTTTAAATGCACCAAATTTCATTGCCTATTTTCATTGAGAAATGGATACAAACATTCATTTTCAAAATGGGGTGCTCAATTATGCTAAGCACTGTGAATATATGGTCTTGTTGGGAGATGAATGACATTTGCTTCGTCTTTGACTGGTCATAATGTTTTTGCTCATCGTTATTAAAAAAAAGAAATCAAATAGCTAACTTTTGTGTTTCATGAACAATTTATTTAAAGAACCCGCTAAAATAAATCATGTGTGAATAGACTGTCTCAGATTTCGTTATTTGTGAATCTGACTATATTAGTCATGCTTTGTTTCTGACTAAAAGTCAGCTCAACTAAAAGTGCCTGGAGTTCTTCAGCGTTCACTTCAACTAACCTCATGCTAACTACACTTATGAACCAGTTCTTTTACTGAACCAATAAGAGTCATTATGTGACAGCATAATCTATTTTAGTGTTTCTTAACCATGTTTCTGGAGGACCACCAACATGGCTTTGGATGGTTCCTTTGTCTGTTACATCAATTACAGGTCTTTCAGTCTCTGCTAATAAGCTGATGGTCTGAATCAGGTGTGTTCGTTAAAGGAGACGTGGAAATGTGAAAGCTGGTGGTCCTCCAGGAACGTGGTTGAGAAACACTGTTCTTTTCACTGATCATTGACTGATCAGTCTATGCAGGGCCATTTCAAGATTAGGTCGCCAATTTGTGAATGAAGTTATGCTGTATGTTTCTGATTCATATCAATAAAAGTGGGTCATTTGTTTCTTAATATTACTACATCAGTCATGCTCTATGTATTTAAATTAGGTAAAGAAATGGCTTTTTATTTTAATCATACAGTATGTTTTTGATTCAGTATAATTTATATGTAATGAAATATATGTATACCAGTAAGAACTAAGAGAGACTTAACTTGTTGTACTTATTAAGCATTAAATATCGCATTGCATTCAGTTTAGGCTGTGATTGCACATTAACTGTTTAGGTGAAACATGATTTTTCTCACTTTGATGCCAAATGTTCATCATTAAAATACAATAAGTATTATGATTAATCAGAATCAATCAGTATTTTTACACAGCCGTCTGTATTGGTATTTCAAGTTGTCTAAGAATCACCAGTTTGACAAACCGAGATCTGGCCAATAATCATCTTTTAATGAGGACTTTTGGCAGCGCATTAACGAGACTACGCCAAATCATTTGCCACAACTCTTGACAGGACAACCATTAACGGTGAGAATGTCAGTTTACAGTTGTTGGCTGAGATATATCTACCAGTTATTCTTCGATCTTGGAAAGTTGTCAAATGGCAGGCCACATAATCCTAACGTTTGCAGACACACATTCATGGTCGGAGGCAGAAAGAAGGATTAAGGCGTCTGTCTGAAGGAACGTGTTCTCTAAAAGGGAAACATGCACAGATTGCGGTCGAACACATTTCAAATGTCATGCCTTAATGCTGGAGCAAGCAACTGAAGTTGCGAGTTCAATGTTGTGTTATCCTGAAAAGGTGCTCGGAGTCCCTGGGGATCCTGAACAATTTCTTATGGCTCACGTCCATCATGTTGCACAGTAGAGGGTGTTACAGATCACATCACAAGACCTATTTTCTTTTCTTTTCTAAATCAGGTCAGGGAAAGCACAGGAATGGCAGTTTGAGAGGGTTGTTACTGACTTGTGAAAATTCAGGGACCTCTTGAAGAGCAATGGAGTCTTCTTAAAAGAGAAGGCACTCTTCTCACACACATACACACACACACACACACACACACACACACACACACACACAGACCGATAACCGCAGTTCTGCAAAGAAATCTACGGTGGTTTAATTGTGGGTTTTTGCGGCACTGTGATGGCCCGGCTCAAAATGGAGACTTTACTGGTGGTTAATTTAAGTGGATTAGGAGGTTACAGAAACTCATTTGGAAGGTCACCAGCAAACTTTGAAATACAATGGCTTGGATTTTCAGGCAATAAAATTCCAGATAAAGCGAAACCAACCATTTTATCAGTAAGGCCATTCAATGTGTTATTCTAAGCAAAATGTGCTCAAGAACGTCCTGGCCTACATCTATTGTGCAGCATTTTTTTGCTATATGAATTGTCAATATGAGCTAACGTTTTGTTGTTACCTTTAAAACAAAGTAGTCTATTCAATAACAGATAACGCAGATAATATTAATGAGTTCTTAACTTGCTTTAATGTTATTGTAGTCGCTGCAAACTAAAAAATCTCAAAGTCCCCTGTGTGGATATTCCACTGAACAGGGGAACATTCACAGGACAATAAAGGAAAGGAGAACAGAGCTTTCATAATCATGTTTGTGTTTAACTAAACTTTAGTATTAAAGCTGAAAGCCTTTGCTCATTGTTCTCTGATTCCCCGTAGCTCTGTGTAGACAGGTGTTTCTCTTCTGGTGTTTCTTCATAACTCCTCTGAAGCCAGCATCAGCTTCCTTCTCTTTAATGTCTCTCTGTGATAAGACTTCAGCTGTTCTAGTCTTTTACTTGTGTTCAAAGAGACGGCAGTTTAATACTGTATGTGTTAATTTGCAAACTTCTAAATACACTGAGGTTCAAAAGTTTGAGACCACAATAAAGATCTGGCATGTTTGAGATCTGGACTTAAACAAATATTTAGGGAATTTTATGTGTGTAATTCACACTGCTAAAACAATTATCATGGGTCATGCTGACAACACAGATACCAATTATGCCATAGTCTGCCAAACTTCTCGTCTGCTATTTTGATTTTGTTCAAACCATTCTTTTTTTAACTCCTATACTGTTGGTCCAATCTTCACCGAATTTGAATCAGACCATGTAGACCAAAAGGTATAGAATTCATGTTAATAGACAAATTTGTTGTCATTTAGCATATGCACAAACTTGATGTAATGCTGCAAGAAGACATTGCAGGCTGAATCACTGCAGTGGTTTGAAGTATTGAAACCAAACTTAAAGTGTGTGATCTAGACCTGACATTGACAATAGAAATCATACAAAATTTATCAAATGACTTTCGAATAGTTTTGTCTACTGTCATTCGACATTTCCTTGGATCATATAGAAAACATTGATATAATGTATTCCCTAATTGACATGACTTCCTGTCCACCATCTTAAATTAGTTGAAAATCTGTTGATTTGAACTCTCCATAGATCTTTGGCCCAATTACCATCAAATTTGACTTAGACCATTGACTTAGACCATGCCTATACATATAGACAAAAATATTTGTATTAAAATAACTCATTGATTTCCAAGTACTGGGTTGTGGCTAGAAGGGCATCCGCTGCGTAAAACATATTCTGAAATAGTTGGCGGTTCACTCCGCTGTGGTGACACCTGATAAATAAGGGACTAAGCCGAAAGAATATGAACAAATGAATAACTCATTGAACATCATCATTATTTTTACAGAAGATACACACTATAGCAATAGTCATTCACTGTAGCAATAGTTTGCATAATAAAAATCTTTTTGGGTATATTTAATACAATAATAGTTTTATGACAAATTATAAGACTTTTTAAGAATCCATTTGTAGTCTCAAAAATCTAATTAAATGTAATTTAAAGTTTTATGCTTTGCCACTATCCTTTAAACCACCCATTTATCAGCAAGAAGGTTCATTTAAAATATATTAAAATTTAGTATTCTTTTATATATTTTAACATGCCAGAATAATTATGACATTTGATTTTCGCAAAAAGGCTTGGCTGAAAGAAAATGATTTTTTTCTACCAAATATATTTGAAACAGTTAGCTTTCATTTAATACGCCTTCTAAGTATATTTTATAAATTAAAATTTGATGTGGATACCAAAATGGGACTTTTCATGACATTACTATCATGCCTATTATAGCATAATTCTTGACTATTACATTTACTGGTGATTTACTGATGACTTAGAATTTTGGACACTACTCTCTTTTTTGCATTTAAGCATATTAGTTATTTTTTAAAAGTGAGATGCAGGCACTGAGCTTGACTTTGCGCTCAAACAGTAGTTCCCCTCATAGGAATAGCTGTGCTTGCTCAGTAGACTATTTTAACATCAAAATCACTAAATGATTGCTGAGACTTATCTCTGCCCTTTAATCATACTCACATGCTGGCTAGTAATGGATGTGCCGTCATTAGAAAGAGTTGTAATCTACTTTATATTTCAATTAAAAGCACTCTTCTTTGATCAGTAAATCACTGATGTGTCCCCCCGTATTATAATGCAGCGGCTGAGATTTAAAAATAATTTCAGGTCTGGGGTGAGCGCAGTCAAACCCAGAGACACTTTCATTCTCTGGTCGTAGGGTCAAAGGATTCTTGACCCCGGCAAAACAGATTAATCTATTTCTGCGCTCAGTAATGCAAGTGTATGGCCTGAAAGCTTATAAATCCCCGCAATCTAGTGAGGAAATGGTCAAATGAAAAAACACTCACTCTAGTTTGTGTGATGATGGGGCTGTGTGTGTGTGTTTTCATGGGGTGGGGGTTCATTATGGCTCTCCAGTACTCCTGAAGGACAGAACGCAGAAGGAGCGCGGCTCATAATTAATGTTCGCATGGCAGGGCTCCAAAAAACCCAGCCGAAAATAAAAGAAATGTGTTTGATCCACCCGCCTGTCTTTAATGAAGTGCCTCCCTGTATGGGAGGCTAATTCTGGGTGAGATTTCAGCTTCATTACTGAAGGCGAGCGGGCTGATTCTCCTGCAGTGCACTGGAGGTGAGGTTTAGGTGGGACGCCCTGCGTGGAGTCTCAATCACTGGTGTTTAAAGCGAACGCGCTCATGCTGCCTCGCTCTGTCTGCACGGAGAGGGATACTTCTTAATTTGTTCCTTAATAGAATTCATATCCAGCATCTCCAGGCATTAAGTAGCACACATTTGTCACAGGCTGAAGAGCAGATGAGTGGGCTAGATTTCATTAAGACATCAGAGTCAATACAGCGGCAACAGGAAACTCGTTTTTTGTGCTGTTTTGTCTCAGTCTTTCTCTATGTTCCTTCTCTAACAAACAAAAAAGGAAATTAGCACACATTTTTAACTCATTTAAATTATGATTCATTGTGATTAGCAGCTTAGATGCTGCAGTGTACCTTGAAGTCTTGAGTAGAGGTGTGAACCTACAGTGGTCTCACAGTTTGGTTTGGTTACGATTATTATGCCATCAATTCGGTTCAATTCGATATCACAGTGCATCACGGTGCATTGACGATGCTTTCCATAATCAATTTAATATTTTATTTCACAGCACAAGAATTATTGTATTAAAATGTATAAATGTATCCATATATTATTTGTAATACAATTTTGTTCATTAATACAAGCAGTCAGATATATGAACTGTGCCTTTAATTGTGCTTGTTTACTCTTTTTGAATGTATCAAACTAAACTAAAGTAAAGGCACAGAACAACATAAACATTTATAGCAAATAAACTAATATAGATATTATCCTGCTTGCTTTTTGAGTGTTGACAAACGAGTTTTTAAGCGCCTATGATTGGACACGCGCTTAACAGAAAAGGCTGCAATTGGCTGTAACGCTCTAGTGCTGTTCACCGATACAGTAAGTGACGCTGATAAACGGCAGCGGCGATCACTGGTGATCAATGATAGACGTGGTGAAGAAAAACTGTTTTGCAGACACGCTCGTTTATTGATGTTTATCGCTATTGTAGCATTTTAATTACTTCAGGTCGCCTCCCTCACTATAGTAAGCTGCAATATACCGCATATGAGATATGACGTCAGAATGTAATAACCGGTTAAGATCTTTTACTGAACTGGTACCGAATTTTCCGCTTATGCATTGTGCTGCATCCGTCACCTAGATTGCATCTATGCACAATAAGTTTAGCCAGAGGAGAAATGGTCATGCCCAACTGAGCCTGGTTTCTCTCAAGATATTTTTTCCTTAACTTTCGTCAGTTGGTTTGTTCCTCGCCGCTGTCGCCACTGGCTTGCATGGTTTGGGACTTGTGGAGCTGCACATCGATGGATTTGTTCTTAAGTGTTTGGACTCTCAGCATTGAAAATTAAACCACACTGAACTGAACTAAACTGAACTTAAACTCTGAAACCGTACTGACACAGTTTCAATTGACTATAATCTATGTGAAGCTGCTTTGACACCATCTACATTGTAAAAGCGCTATAGAAATAAAGATGAATTGAATTGAAGAAACCATTTATTTTGACACCCCTAGTCTCAAGTATGTATTATTTTTAACACATTTGTTGTTTGTTTGTTTTTTGAAGAAAATATCCTTAAATTTTAATTATTTGAATTTGTAGTGACAATATTTTCCTTACATTGATAAATGTAATATAAATATAAATAAGCTCTCCATTGATCTATGTCTTGCTAGGATGGGACAATATTTGGCAGAGGTGGAACTATTAGGAATCTGGAAAAGCAATCTACTGATTTTGACATGAAATAAAAATAGACAAATTTTTGACTCATGCGATGTATTTTTGCCTATTCTCACAAATATACCTAAACAACATGAGTGGTATTGTTTTCTAGGATCACACATTCATTGCACTACAGATGTTATATGTATTGGTATTTGTGCAATGTTTTCTGATTAAATTTACATTTAAATGTATTCATGTTTAAAAAAAAAATCTAATATTTTACTCAGGTTCATATTAAATCTGTAGCACTTTTTTTCAGAAACACAAGATTAGATTATTTTTCTCCATACAGTAGCAGTCAGGATGGCTTAATGTTATTTAGCATGAGTCATACTACTTTAAATCTACAATACATGAATGTGACTGATGATATTTTTATTTCTGGGTGAACTGTTTCTTTAAGAGTCATAATGACGACAGTGCTGAACTGCATGTCTTACTGCGAAGGGCCTCAGCAGTGGGGGCTCAATGGGGAGAGCAGCTTGGGGATAAATGACTGGATCTGGTTGGGAGACCCCAGGGACTGGGATTTAACGCCCAGGAAATAATCATGTTTAATTTAGCAAGCAGATGGCTCAGAGATAGGAGGCAAAACAGATCCTTAGACCTGCGGTTCTGCCACTTAGCTGCCTGGGGTGAGTTGAAGGTCCATACATGCACTCATACACAACGTTTTATCACTCAACTTAGAAAATGGGAGACACGTCACATTTATGTAAACAAGTGCAACTTCACCTTTCTAAATATAAACAACCGCTAAAAGATGCCACTCCAAGCTATTTGCACGAGTGGGATTTAATTGGAACACACAGAGTCTTGGTCGCTACACTGCGATGAGGAAAGAACAAGCACTTTATCTTCTGGAACAGCCTCAAAGAAAACATCATTTACAAGCTAAAAAAAAGTATTATCTTCTAACCCTGCAAGTTAGCAGATAAACGCAACAGGGAGAGGACAGGGCCAGGAACGAGACAGGCAGGGTGGCAATCATTGGCTGTTAGATGAGGGTGTACTTTTCTGAATGTCATGCAGCCTGAGGTGTAACAAGCCCTTTCTGCTTTGGCAGCACTTTGACTGGAGCGTGTTCTTACCTCAGGTAGTCCCTGCGACAGAGGATGAGATTGGCTTTGGTGTAGAGGGTGGAGCCCACCTCCCCCAGGCGGCAGTCACAGCAGGCACATTTCAGGCAGTCTTCGTGCCAGTATTTGTCCAGGGCCTTGAGCAGGTAGCGGTCTTTAATCTTACGGTTGCAGCCGGCGCATCCCTTCTGTTTTCCTTTGGGCTGGACGGAGAGCATCGGCACACCTGTGGCGATAGGGAGACAAACACAGAGAGCGGTGTGATTTACTGCCTGGCTAAACCGGTGACTTTTCATGTTCCGCGCTCTTTGATAAGGGTGGCGACACCGATGAAGCTCGGCCCGCTGTTTCATATGCATTAGCCATGGATGCTCTTCCTGGCAGATAGGCGCGTAGGTCACTTTGGACTGTGTTCATCTGTTACTGCCCCCGTTCAAAAGAACAGATGTTATTTTTGGCCAGTGGCATGCACCCGTTTAATGGGGGTTTGAATGCATCTCTATGTCAGGATGCCCTAGGACCATCTCTATTTAGATAGCTGACAGAGGTATTTATGTTGTTTGGAAGATTACCCATGGCCCTATTTCATCAGCATGAGAACTGTTGGCCATGCTAAAAGCCTCCCATGGGCTTTGTTTGGTATAGATCAACATTAACCTTTTAGAGCACTGTTGACCACAAGAAGGCTGCTCTCAGCTTCCAGTGAGATACGCTATGGCCTAAGTGCCTTCCAGACACACGCACACGCACACACACACACACACACACACACACACACACACACACACACACACACACACACATACTCTAAAGCCTGATCTCCTTTTACACTCGTGCTCGCTGCATTGCGACTAGCGAAGAGTAACCAAACCGGCTAAATTGCCGCGCTGTCATGTAGCCTCCCCCCTTTAAGCATGCCTTTTAGCCTCCTAAAGGACAAATAAAGTCCATTTAATAACTGCACTAAACACTAATAGTCTATCTGCGGTCTGACATTTGTGTGTGGACTAAAAGCCGCCCCCGGGCCAGAGCTGGTAACACTGGCACTCGGCACCCCTCTGCCAGCACTAACAGGTCTGCCACAGCTGAAAGCGCAGGACAACAGCTCTTAAGACACTCTCTCCCACACTGAGCTATTGATCCGTCTAATAGAACGCACAGCTAAACCGGCACTCTCCCTCTCTCTATACCTCTCTTTTGCTCTCTGCTTTCAAAACACATTTCTCTCAGAAAGCCCTGTGTGATGCCCCCTTTGACACCCCTCCCTCGTGCCTCCTCCCCCTGTCATTCAGCAATATATCGTGCCCCGGATGGTCAAACCATTAAAAGCCCCCAGTCCTGGATGGAGACAGACCTGTCTGGACAGAGGGCTTTTCATTCAAGCATTAGCCATTTTACAGTTGTATAGTACAGAAAAGTGTAGAAATACTCTCCACGCAAACAGTTTAATGATAAAAAAAGATATATAATTTCAAATTATGGCTGCAGTGGCAAGGCAAGTTTATTTATATAGCAAATTTCATACACAGTGGCAATTCAAAGTGCTTTACATAAACCGAAATAAAAGACAAGTATAAATAAAATAGAAACAAATAATATAAAAACAGACACAAACAGTGTGGAGACCATATTTCCATATTCCAAAACCCCGGTGTATCATATTTTTTCATTTTACTCTAGGACTTCCCTTTTCTGGTGATCACTCCCTTCTTAGGAGTACATCGCTTTAGCTAGCCAAACGTAATAAAAGGTCTTGATCTCAGCCAGATACCAGAAACGGCCCCTGTGCACAAGGGGACGATCACAGCAAACACGCTTTGTGCATTGAGAGGGGCATCTTTTGAATGGTTTACTAAAGACTGTGAGCGTTTTGTGGCACCTTGCGCACATTGTATTTTTGCCGTTGCGTTCTGTGTGCCCGCAATGGAAAAAACTCTGAGTGGAAAAAGCGTGTTACGTCAGTTGCGTCTTTTCCATTTTTCAATCAAATGAAAGCAGAGGCGGGGTTTCCGTTGATTAAATGCATATTTTTCATAAAGAGTGATAAGTCTAAAGACATGTGGTATAGGTGAATTGGGTAAGCTAAGTTGTTCATAGTGTATGTGTGTGGATGAGAAGTTATGGGTGTTTTCCAGTGATGGGTTGCAGCTGGAAGAGCATCTGCTGCGTAAAACATATGCTGGATAAGTTGGTGGTTCATTCCACTGTGGCGACCCCTGATTAATAAAGGAACTAAGCCAAAAAAAAAATGAATGAATGTTTTCTGTGCTGTTTGAAACACTGCAGGTGATGTGCTGTTGTTAATATGTTCTGTATGCTGTTGTTCACATGTTCAAATAAATCTGTTTTTTATGCAATATCTATAATGTCAGACACAAAATAGACTCTTCCATTATTATTTTTAATTAAATAATAATTCAATATTAATCTGACCAGGTAATATTCGGTTAACCAGCGGCAGTTGTGAGTTGGCAAAATTTACCGAATGAGCATCCCTAATGTACATGAAATCAAAATGTTGTCAGAAATGACTACAAAGATTCTATTTTGACACTGAGGTCCAGGGTTTTCAGTGTATGGACAACAACTTCCCTCCAAGAAAAGTTGTCAACAAACATTTTGTTTTTGTTCTGTGAACTATCCCTTTAAATTCTTATTTTCCCAGTATCATCATGTTTATATAAGGCTTGTGCTTAGCTTATTGTTAGTGCATTTGTGTATGAGACGAGATGTCCGTTAAGAGTATCCTGATGGCAGAGGTCACAGGCAGCAGCTCTTGTTCAGCTCCGGCTTTAATGTCCGGTAATGGCTCTACTGTACATGATCAACAAATGTACGCCAGTGGGCATGAACTCCATTATCCAGTACCCCGCATGCAACTATCAGCATATTAATGTTTTTTTTTTTTGGAGTGTGTGTATTCTCCTCTAACTGGACTAACCTTGCATTGTACTCTGAGTGGATTTTTAGTGCTCTCCAGGGTTGGACAATATGCAGAATATTTTGAAACTTTAAACCAAACTTTTCTAGTTACATATTGTAGTGCATTCATTTGAACTGGACTTCCTTACACGCAAAATCTGAATCATATCCTGCGTACGGTTTGTTATCTCCATTCCAATTAAGGGATTAAATGAGAATTTAAAAGACGTTCTCAATTCTGATTAGTGCACAGATCTGGTATGAACTCATTCTCCCACTTTCCCTATGTGCTGCATATACAGTATTCCCTAACTACATTCAGATTTGTTCAGTGATTCTGGACTGTCCACACATCAGTGGTGCTATGAATATAATATAATTAGCATTTCCTCGGTTATAAAATAGGGTAAAAATGTGAGAGCACTCAGGAAAGACTGAAAAAGAGAGAGAGAGAGAGGGCAGGAGAGCGAGGGCTTGTTAGTTAAATTTATGACTTGGATGTGAATAAGAGCTCTGGTGGTATTCAACCATCTTATTTCTTTATCAGAACTGAAAAAAGAGGGAAGCTAATTGGTCTAGCACCACTGATGGGAGCCATCAATTAGCTGTGCGCTTCCCCCTCCAGCTTCCTCCCCGCCCCCCCTCCGGCCCCAATACGGGCCCCTTGAAGCTGCCGCATTAGGATCACAAAACTCGCTATAAATACCAATGTTCAGTATAAATGAAGGTAAAAAGCCTTTAAATTGAAGCCACACTAGCTGAGGGCGGTCGTTTTCTACCTGCATTTCATGGCTTGTTAGAGGTGCACTCTGCAGGTATGCCAACAGTGCTCTCCTGTCAGCCTTCTACAGAACTAGAAACAGTCTTAATGAGGAGAGAGAGCGCTCGTCTGCGAGGAAAAAAGTGTGTCTGTGTTTGTACGTGAGTGTGCGCATGAGACGGAAACGAGCTTGGGAATCAGGCTCCTTCAGTTCCCCAAGGGATGGCACAAAAATCTTTAATTTGCCTTTTATGACAGCTAATTAGTTATTCTATTCAAAATCTTTGCTTTAAATAAGAGAACTAATTATACACAAAGGTCGTTTCCCCCACCTCAGGAGAACCACACATAATTGGTTTAGGCCACCCCCCCCCCACACTCCCCGCTTTCCACCCACCTTTTAACAACTCACATGTTGGTTGAAGAAAAAAGTTAACAGTAAAGAGCTTAACCCTTTGTGTAGTAAACCACTCAAGGCTCGTTTGTGTGAGAAACCTTGGAGTGTTCCCATTCTGTAATTACCTGGATGGATTCAGGTTTGTGGGTAACTGAATGGCAACGTCATGTTGTGACAGGTTTCCTAACCCAAATTCAAGGCGGCTAACGCTTTCTGTCTCACCAGGCTAGAGCAGCAGCCTCCAGGATGAGTTAGTTGATATGAGGAGCGCTGTATTCTGTCTGAGCTAATCATCTTGTTTCTGCCATCTCGGAGAAACCTCTTGTTGTTTTCCGAAAAAAAGAAAAATGAAAAAAGTCAGCTGAGATAGGCTTTAGAAGCCCTATATAGCCTCAGCACATTTTTAAACCTGAAACGACAGAGTAAATGACTGAATAAAAGTACATAATGTTGACTCTGACATCAGCAAACTGGTATTTTGGGGTTTATACAGAAGAGTGCACCTGTCATCATTCTTTGCACAGCCTGGAATCTCGGTTGTCGACCCTTCCCCCATTTCTGTCCTGCAGAACAAAAAAGGGGAACATTATAAACGGAGACGCAAACTCAGGAGGCAGCTCTCACTTAATCCAATCCATTTAACAGATACAAGTGCCGCTGACCTTCCTGTGTCATTCCATGTCACAAAAAAAGCATATCCTGCTATCTGCCGCTTGATTCATATCCTAACAGTAGATGCGTTTTATTTTTCCCCCCTTCAAGTGGCAACGTTTGCCTTGTCAAACATTTCTCCCAAACAAATAGAAAGGAGGAAAAGAAATCATTCGCTATTAGTAATTGGTGTGCACCCTGTCATCCGCCTCTTTTCCGCCCATCCACCCTTTAAAGACCTTATCTCAGTCGAATATGTACGAATGCGTTTTTGCATTTGAAACTGTCAGACCATGTACTTTCCATTATAAAGATAGGATCCGGTTTCTATGTAGGCCTTCATTTCAAGTTCCATTTTTGTGGATATCATAAAAATCAAATCAGTCGTACCCTTTTGATGTATTTAAGGTTTAGAGCAAGAGGGAAAAAAAGTCAAGGAATCGTTTTAAAGCATTACAGCACAATTATAATATCTTTGAGGGGAGATTTTAAGAGAGAAGGATTTGTTTGTCTTTGTAGTCGGTTTCTTTTTCCTTTATTGCATCTTTTAATGAGCACACAGTTGAAAGCCAGAGATGATGCAAACTTTACTGTATGCAGGGTCACTGTTATTAGATCTGATTAATTAGCTGGACACCTCAGTGTGAGGCCTCTCCATGGGGGCAGGTGAAGGGGCCACTGGGATATTAGGCTTGAATGTGAGATCACAAAGAGAGTGACTGATTGGACTGTGCTTGCTATTCTTACAGAAATGTCTTAAAGAGGTTGCGTAATATTGCATTATTTACTCACCCAATAAATCTCTATGATGTTGATTTCTTTTTCTTTTTTTTTTTACAGAGTATATAAAAGAAATTTCAAATATATTTAAAGTTTGTGATTCTATCATAATTGTTGTTTTAATGGCATGTGAGCTGACATTAAGCATGTCATTCCTTTGCAAAACAAAAATGCCGTACAAAATAATTCCCTGCTAATAAGCTTATTAGAATGCAGTTAGAATGACCTTATAATTTGAGGTATGAAAACTAAAAATGTGCCCAAATATGTTTTTATATTCAGGATGAAATAAAGTTATGGTGTTTTTATACAACAGTAGAACAACACTAAATAAAAAGATATGTTTAGTTACATTTTAGTCTCAGTATTTCTTTTCTTCTCACAAAAAGCCAAAACAAAAAATCTTAGATTTATGCTTCATTCAAAAAAACATTTTTTTTTATTTGGTTTGTTTTGAAATGAATCAACTATTTTTGAATTTATTTATCAATTAAAAGGGGTGTCAGACTCAATTCCTAGAAGGCCACAGCCCTGCAGAGTTTAGTTCCAGCCCTGCTTCAACACACCTATCTGTAGGTATAAAACAAGCCTAAAGTACTCATTTAGTTTAGTGCAGAGCTTCGGTCATCCATGAACGGAGTTTGACACTTGTGCAATGCTGTGTATATTTATATTAATTGGTGTAAATATATAAATTTCATGCCAATATCAAACATAACCTAAAAGTGTTTACAAACTGATTAGGAACTGGCTGCTTATGTTTATTAAAGACTATTATTAAATGTTCAGTAAAGTTTTTATAGTAATAGTATATAATCAAAGAATTTGATGTTGAGAGATGTTTAGTATGTGTTAGCAATGGTGACTGACTGGTTACATTGTTATGCAATTAATGCAAATATTTATTTATTTATTTATTTATTTATTTATTTATTAATTTGGCTGGAGATACTGTTGTCCTAAAAAACTAAAATGAATGATTGAATGAATGAATGAATGAATGAATAAATTCTGGCGGTTTAAAAACCTTGACTCCTCCAAACTGCAGTATACCTTGAAAATGGTTGCCGTCCCATGCCTATGAAGAACTAGTGTTTAGTGAGTCAATTATATTAATAGGGACCAACATAAGTTTGTTAATGAGGACAATACTTTTCATTTCTTATATATTGTATACAATAATCATACATAATACAAGAAGCTATTCAATAAAGCATCTCAATATTCCTTCATTACTGGCTTTAAAAACTGATGGCTTTGACTTAGTGACAGAGACTTAGGCTCAGCTGTTAAACTTAAGTTGTGAATCTAGAGCTGGGCCGATAAATAATATTATATTAAAATCATGATTAAAACTTGTCAATAACAATGATAAGCTTTGGACTTTATTTTGTCTATATTAATCACACAGCAAAAATGTGCAACAATGGGAATCTAAAAATGTGTTGATAATAGAGATGTACTGAATTTTCAGCCACCAGGAAATCTATCCTCTAAAAATGTTATGCCATTTAATTAACCCTCTAATTTTGTGGCTTCAGTCATTGTTGGGGTACTCTTTAAAGTTTGGAAGCCTTAACAACTTAAACCGAAATCTGTATCGTTATCAGAAGAATTTGCTTGGTTTAAGAGACTGTGGTTGTTTCTTACTTGTGCGGTCAAACTCTTGTAATAAACAAGTATAACACTTACAGCTGTCTAATATAGCTCTATATTAACACAACTGTGATTAGCTATGGCACATTGCTATGGGTGATCTTGCCCAATCACACTGTACAGTACATGTTTGGAACAAATTAAATGTAATCTTTTTTTTTTCTCAATGCAATGTGAACGAATACATTTTGGGCAAATATAAACATGGCTTTGGGCTTTATGAGGTTCTGCATATGGATCCCGCAGTGCCCTTAAACGAACCTAGACGGCATAAAGCATGACCTCAAAACATCTGAAAAAGGGACCAATTTAGAGGAACAAAGTGTTGGAGACTTGAACTACAGATGTATGAGGGATTACAGGCAGTCATCTGTCGCAAAGCTGTTGGCATGATTTTTCATGTATGACAGCCTCTGGTTATGACAGCAGCAATGCATGCATGGAGCCCAAGTGTTCTCCAAAATATTAAACACCAGCAGGGAATGAAAAACTGTTTTTGGTGGCAGGCGAGATCAAACGTGCAATACAAAGAATCGCTTAATTGAAATAGAAATGATTCCAAAAGTAATGTAAGCTTAGAGGCTTTCAGTCTTTTAAGGTATAGGACTCTGAAAAGAGGCAAGAGAGTGTTTTGGAGTTGAGTGTATATGGTGGTTGAGACAGATTGGACCAGAAGGCCACAGTGTGACAAATGAAAGCTGATCAAGCCATGGGAGGTTGTAGTTTTTGATTGAGCTGAACCATTTGCCAGAAGGAAGTCTTGGTGGTGACAGGGATGGGAGAGGTCTGTGATGATATTAACTGCATGTCTCCAAGGCATGTGATGAAGATGATCTCTGTGGACTTGATAAGCACTTGCAGCTTACCCCGAGAGAGGGCAGATGCAGTTTCCTTACTGGATGGAATTGATATTTTGGTTGAGGTTTTTGGAATTAAATAAGACCTGGTAGGGATGTGCAAAAATATGTTTTAAGAAGTTAGCTGGCTTGGGGGTTTAAAAGCTAAATAATGTGATAAAAGCTGAAATAATTAGGCTGATTTTGGATTCACCTGGACCCTGGTCATGTATTTTAAGGAATTGTTTACATACAGCATGCTCTTGCATTCAAATACAGTAAGACTACATTATAGATTGTTCAAGTGGTTCTGGTGACGCGCGAAATTCAGATGGAGGGCAGGAAGTAAAAAACTGAATAGGAGACATAGGAAAGTCCGTATTTTTGTGATTTATACCTAATTTACACTTTAATAGTATACATTTATAAATTATATATTTGTTATTAAAATTAATATTGCTATTTATACCAAATTTTTATTGAGATTTATACCATATTTCAGAGGAGATATAAATAGAAAATATCCACATATGTTGGGCTTGATCCTTATATCATGAAGAGGGCCGAGTTTTCTCCTGAACCAACATATATTTGCCTCTTATCGAGGCGGTAGACATAAGCCATTACGTTACATGAAAAAAAATACTATAGTAAATACTATAGTGTTTGGAAGCATACTATACATTAATAACTTGAATTAAACTGTTGTAGTAATTATATTGTTGCTGTGGTAAGACACAACTGTAGTAATAAACAATATATTCAAAAGGCTTCAGTTTTCTACGCTATAATTGTACACCATCACAATGCACCAACATAGTTTACATAAAGGTTACAATATTTATTACAGTTTATCAGTTTACTATGCTACAGTTTTCTGTAGCATTCATTAACAAAGAGTTGTAGACTTTACTTTGTGAGATTATTATATGTTACTGTGGTTTCTTCACGATGCGGATATCTTACAGGCATCTCAAAATAACAGATGGAAGAATACAAAAGCATAGGTGCATAGTCTACAATATTATTCATTTATTTTTGCAAGGGAGAAAAAAATGCTCCACAATAATAACCCTCTAGTTTAGTTGCTTTTTGTTGATGAACTTACCATCAACATACTTTCACCGATTCTGCGCATCTCGGTGTTCGAAAACTTGAAAGTCCATAAAAGCTGTTTGGCATTTCTTGATTTGGCCGATTTTAAACAATTATAAACAATATTAAACAGAAACATTTTGATGTTCTAATAACGATTGCTATGTAATGGAACCACTTCCTGGTTTCATTTGATAAAGGTCTGTTAACATTTCCAAATTATAAACAAAAATATATATTTTTCGAAAATGACAATTGGTCAAAATAATGTTTATTGTGTTGTGTATGATCAAAGAAATATTGATTTCATAACTCTTTGAAGTAAAAACCTTGGTATTGTGTCATTGAATAATTCATTTAAACATATCTGAAAACATGGCAACCTCTTGTTATTTGATGCAAAAAAATGCTCTAAAATGACAACATTTTTATTTTGTATAAAACATTTTTAAAATGAACTATTTAAAGATGGATGTTTTAAGAGGCAGCATTTCTGAGAGGGTTTTACTGCAAGCCAAAGCACAAATCATGTTGATTATTTGAGT